TTTGGAGTTGCATGAAAGCTAATTAAAATGGTTCTCACAAGGAGAAGCGAAAGTGTCTGTTTCCGTTCGTTGCCTCGATGCCTTAAGCCTAGATCTTCAGAGAAAACTATTTTTATCATTGCACCTGGCAAGGTTATGTAGGCCAACATCTTCTGGCCAGTTTTACCAGATGTAGCTCACGCCTGCTATTTGATGAGAACATCCTTTATTTTAAGGTCACATCTCCCCTTCTGATGGATAAGGATCTATACCTTTTACTTTTCTGTAATCATTCTGCATTTAAGGACTGGGATCTAAACTAACATGTGGCCAAGTATATGCCTCTGAAACTGACATTTTCCATGGCTTAATTTTGGAAATTTCATTCATGTTTAGTCAAAGAACTCAAATCCACTCCCTTATCCTTGTCACCTGCAGAGGTTTGGATATACGTTATAAATTGCTAGGATGAAATTCTTCAAAAAGCTTGTTCTATATTGGAAACTCTTTACATCCTGGCTAATATTTCATTTAGAACGGGTTTTTTTCACCTAAATTTGGAAGGTTTTCATATACAGCAGCATTTCTCCACTTGGGGGGAGGGCATGTCAGAGGGGTCACTAAAGACCATCAGAAAACACAGTATTTTCTGTTGGTCATGGAGGTTCTATATGGAAAGTTTGGCCCAATTCTATCATTGGTGGGGTACAGAATGCTCTTTGATTATAGGTGAACTATAAATCCCAGCAATTACAACTCCCAAATGTCAAGGTCTGTTTCCCCCAAACTCCACCAGTGTTCACATTTGGGCACATTGAGCGTTCATGCCAAGTTTGGTCCATACCCATCATTGTTTGAGTCCACAGTGCTCTCTGGATGTAGGTGAACTACAACTCCAAAACTCAAGGTTTTGGAGTCCAAACCTTTCCAGTATTTTCTGTTGGTCATGGGAGTTCTGCATGCCAAGTTTGGTTCAATTCCATAGTTGCTGGAGTTCAAAATGCTTTTTGATTATAGGTGAACTATAAATCTCAGCAACTACAACTCCCAAATGACAAAATCAATACCTCCCACTCAACCCCAACAGTATTCAGATTTGAGTGTATTGGGTATTTGCACCAAATTTGATCCAGTGAATTAAAATACACCCTGCATATCAGATATTTACATTACGATTCATAACAGTAGCAAAATTAGTTATGAAGTAGCAAAAAAATAATTGTATGGTTGGGGGTCACCACATCATGAGGAATTGTATTAAGTGGTCACGGCATTAGGATGGTTGAAAACCACTATTCTAGAATGTGATGATTGCCCCAAACAAAGAAAGTATTCACCGTTATTCCTCTATTCTTCTCTCTGGCCAGATGAGGTCCTACACAGTAGAAGAAAAAGGAGCTATGTAAAATATGCTTCAGTTGTGTTTGCTCTGAATATAAGCTTTATTAGCTGATTTCCACATGTGATTTCTGCACAGCAAATACTATCTTGTGATCCGATTTACTGCTGGCCTCAAAATCAGAAAAAGATGTTATCTTTAGTAATGAGACTTTGCGCTTCAAAAGTTCCTCTTAACTTATACACATGCCCAATATGTTGTCCGGAAGGAAATCTGCAACATGTATCTTTCGAGAGAGAGATTACAATGAAAAACGTGATGGAAAAGAGCCAAAAGCAATAAAACATCTGAGGCTTCTATATGCAATTTCATTTGCAATTGTTTTCTTCTGAAACAATAGTTCATAATGGATGTATTAATTTTGAACCCGATTCTTCTGGGTGTGATCATGTTTTGTTTGGCTGTTTGCCTTTGCTGACTTGTTCGAGGACCTTACCTTTCTTCCCCTTGCTTTAAGGACATCTCTGAGCCCTTCCACACAGTAATATAACCCAGAATATCAAGGCAGAAAATCCCACAAGATCTGCTTTGAACCAGGTTATCTGAGTCCAACTGCTATATATCCCAGTTCAAAGCAGAAAATGTGGGATTTTCTTCAACTGTGTGGAAGGGGCCTCTGAACCCTTCACATTGAACCATGATTCCCTGCAGCTGAAGCCAGCAGAGCCATTGGTGAGGAATGCTGAAAAGTTGCCGCCCAACAACATCTGGAGGGCGTCACCATTCTCATCCTGCTCCGTGATATGATGGAGAGAGGAGTAAGGGCTTTTTTCAAAGGACAGTTCAATGTCCATCTTTCCTTTTTGTAGTTGCTTTTTTAAGCATAGTAACGTAACATCTTGTACAGTGAGCTTTCTAATCAAGGATTGTGGCAACACTGCAATCTCCTTTTGTCTAATACACTTCTGTTCCTTTTGAAAACAAGCACACATGCGAGCTTAGAATTGGGTGCTGTACCTTGAAAGATTTAAAAACAACCCAAGTAGAAAGACTCACAATTTATACATAGCCTAGGAGGCATTCATGTTAGCCTCTTCATCAAAGATCAAGCTAAATAAATGCTTTCATGCTAGAGTTATGCGGAGGAGGGAGAGCGCAACCTGTAAAGAATTAATCAGTTTTTAAAAACCTTTTAAGATAAATCCGAGCATGGCACAGCCACAAAAACAGAGCTTGGCCTCTCTTCACTAAATGCATCACAATCCCTCCCGAGAACTGCATTCCACAGGAGTCATAAGAGAACTGAATGTTTTGCCTGAAGGATACACTACACATTAGTTTGGTTTGTCACTTTTGTCAAAAGGGAGGAAAAGGGCAACATAGGTGAAGAGAACAGACAGCGTACAATGAGCAATTATTATGCAATGACTCAACTGTTGACTCTAAGGCCCCATCTACACTGCAGTTTCATTGTGCAGTTTAACTATTGAATTGCATTAAAGGTAAAGGTTTCCCCTTAACATTAAGTCTAGTCAAGTCCAACTCTGGGGGGTAGTGCTCCATTTCTAAGTTGAAGAGACAGCGTTGTCCATAGACGCCTCCTGGGTCATGTGACCAGCATGACTGAATGGAGCGCTCTTAACTTCCCGCCAAAGCAGCACCTATTGATCTACTCACATTTGCATGTTTTTGAACTGCTAGGTTGGCAAAAGCTGGGACTAACGATGGGAGCTCACACCAACTTTCTGGTCAGCAAGTTCTGCAGCTTAATTGTTTAACCCGCTGCGCCACTGTGGCCCTGAAAATTGCATTATATGAGTCTATAAAGCAATGGTTCTCAACCTGTGCGTCCCCAAATGTTTTGGCCTTCGACTCCCAGAAATCCTAACAGCTGGTAAACTGGCTGGGATTTCTGCAAGTTGTAGGCGAAAACACCTGGGGTTCCACAGGCTGAGAACCACTGCTATAAAGTAATTCAGTGCAGTAGAACTGCATTATGAAACTGGATTATATGGCAGTGTAGATGGGGCCTGGGAATTGGCTGACACCACCAGACTTAGTTACCAAGATAAACTTGTACAGTGTGAATCTAAAAGTAAAAGGGAGTGACAAAAATCTGTCATATGAGGTGATTGTTAAGGTGCAAAATGCTCTTATGTCTTCTTTATAATGAAACAGTATAATAGATTGTTCTATTTTTTTTTCTAAAAGCAAATATGAGAGACATATTTATAAACTCAAATAAGACTGCTGCATTTACCTGCATCCAAACCATCAGGTTCTTTTTGTCACACAGTAATCAACCACCTCTCTCCAAGCATCAATCTACAGCATCCAGAACACTATCTAACAGCTATAGAAAGAAAGCATATTATTTGAGAACACAGAAATGCTGGTCCACTCTAACAACTACCATGTCAGACTACACAGAGAAACCACTGAAATCCATAAGCATGTGGACAATTTCAACAGAAAGAAGAAATCCATGAAAATGAACAAAATCTGGCTACCACTATTTAAAATCAGGACAGTAAATAAAGAGCAACACTAAAAAAAACAGGGGAATTCCAGACATTAAACAATCAAGGCCAGCTAATACCTCCCAACAAAGGATTCCCCCGGCAGGAAGAAGCCAGGCTTTGAAGCTGCAAGGCCAATTGCAACATTCACACTTGCCTCAAGGCGGCCAATTGCAACATTCACACTTGCCTCAAACAGACAAGAGTTCTTTCTCTCACCCCTGACATTCCACAGATATATAAACCCCACTTGCCTAGTTTCCAACAGACCCCACAACCTCTGAGCATGCCTGCCATTGATGTGGGTGAAACATCAGGAGATAATGCTTCTGGAACATGGCCATACACTCTGGAAAACTCACAGCAACCCATATAGAGAAAGTTAAGCTGACTTAAGTCTTGCTGATAAAGCTTCAAAACAGATACCTAAAAAATTAGAGCAGATAATGAATGTTTTGGTTTTGAACGCATAGTTATCTATCCTATTTTTTCCCCTGGCAGCACTGCCATGTCTTTAAGATCATATGTCAGGAATGCATCCAATAAATACCTGACTACCTCCTTTTCATGCTTTACCTGTTGGATTTCCACATTTGGGGTAAAATAAGACACAAAGGCTGTGTGTTAGAAATTTTAAAAAACCAACCTCCTTCATAGGATCACGAGTGACCGATAAGAAGCTGAGCCCTGAGCAACAATGCGAGTTCTGTGAACATACAGCTATAACACTCCAAGCAGAAAAAATGAAGCTTAAGCTGCAGAAATATATCTGTACTTTATAAAGTTTGAAACCGAGTGCCTGCATTGTCTCATTCCAAATAGAAGTGGCCAATTAAGCATGCATTCTTTCTTTAGTGGCGACATCAAAAATGAATGAACTTTAAAAAGTTTCTTGGATAGTTTCTGGGGTCGAACACATCAGTTTGACACATATTTAAACATTCGTTGAAGGAGCAAAAATACAAAACTTTGGTATTTCTCCCATATCAGAAACTGTAAACTTAGCTGCCCATAACCCAGAGAACCACTGACATGTAGGGTTAGTGGGCTTAGCCAGTCATTTTGGCTGTTTTGCAGCTGATGTATATTTACTTTTCTAAGTTCCACAAAGAAAAGAGTGGGGAAAGGAAAGAGAGAGAAAGAAAGTTTTTTGCTGTTGTTACCTCTCTGTTGTGCAGGTGTGGGATGTTCCTGGGAAATCTTTGTTCCCCCATCCCTTCCTCTTTCTAGCTTTCCTCTGTCTGTCTTGTCCGTCAGTGCAAGCCTTTTGACAGCCAGGGAAAGAAAAATAATGCTGACTGCTGGGGAGTGTTTAATAGCCAAGCTTCAGCTCAGCTTAAGGACTGAGAGGAGTCCTATGTGGCCTGCAGAGAGAAGGAGGAAGGCGGAGAGGAAGGGAGGGTGGGGAGGGCGGACAGGGTGGGGGGAGGCAAAGCAATCAGGGTTTAAATTTAGACACCAATCTAAACAGATACTGCCTTTCCCAGAAAGGAGCGCACCAGAAAGACGCACACACACACATACACACACAGAGGGGGAATAAACTATTCTGTACTGTGTTGCATTTCCTCATTTCTCTCTAGCGTTTATTTCTCAATCTTCTTCTTCCCCATCTTGCAAAAAAAATACCACTTGCTTGGGTACTTTTCCACAGTTTTCTAGACTCACTGCCTCCACTTGGGCTTTCAACAACAGCTCTCTGTCAGGGTGCATCTTCTGCACTGTGGAATGAATGAAGCTTGACACTGCCATGTCTCAATACTATGGAATCGTAAGAGTTGCAGTTTGACAAGGCCTTGAGCTGTTTATGTCAAAAAGGGATGGTGTCTCCCCAAACTACAACTCTCAGGATTCCATAGCATTGAGATGTGGCAGTTAAAGTGGTGTCAAACTGCATTCATTCTGCAGTGTAGATGCACCTTCAGTGGTAGACCACATGCTTTGTATGAACAAAGTCTAAGAGATCCAATTTCATGTTGGAGCATGCAAGGGAATCAGTTAATGTGTGTGTGTCAACTGCAAAATAAGATGCATGAAGCTTATTAGTAGGGCAATGCCCGAGGAGCAGGCTAAGCCTGGGACTTTTGGATACTGTTACATTTTTGTTCAGGCTTGAGCTATGCAAGAGAAAAAGAAATAAGGAGAGAGAGAGAGAGAGAGAGAGTTTGGAATGTGCTCTCGCTTCATGAGCTGCTGAAGAAGTTTATGCATATGGACAGAAAAAGACCATTTTCAATCTCATAAAAGGACTTTATGTGAGATTATGAAACTGATTACATTGGACATATGTTATTCTGAACTACAAAGATTAAACTACTTGTTCTTTATTGTTCACCTATGTGGCATATTTTCTTTCTCTGGCAAGGCAGTGTGTGGGCTGATCAAACATGAGTCCCCCTTCAGGGGGAGAAGGGCGGGGTAGAAATACATGAAACAAACAAACAAACAAATATGTGGTTTATTTTACATTATGCCACATCCCAGTAATTTTCAAGTACAATAGGGAAAACCCCTGATGTATTTATTTGTTTGTTTGTTTGTTTATTGCATTTCTATACTACTCTTCTCACCCCTGGGGGGATTCAGACAGATGTACAACATGATAAAATGACAAACTTCAATGCCAAACATACATATAAAAGCAATACACTACATAACTAAATCAATAGCATATAAATATGAATTAAAACCATTAAAAACTATACAAAGACACATTATAACATGAACATAAAGCCTATTAAACATTGCACCAGTCCCATGGTTACCATTTAGCTGATTCAGTAAATTCTAGGAAACCAGTGACCAACAGTGCTGACAATACTGGGACAGGTAGACTATTGGTCTGACTCAGTTTAAGGCACCTTGCTACTACATTGTTATGGTGCAGGTAGATACATCAATGTCAAATGTATATCCCAGAGTGAGAACCACTTGTTGTTTTTTGAAAGAAAGAAAAAAACCCAAATGATGTTTTTATTGTCCCAGAGTGTGTTCTGGAAATTCCTAGCAGTAATTACATTTATAGGTAAAGGTAAAGGTTTTCCCCTGACATTAAGTCCAGTCATCTTCATTTCTAAGCCAAAGAACAGACATTGTTCATAGACACCTCCATGGTCATGTGATGGGCATGGCTGAATGGAGCACAGTTACCTTCCTGCCAGAGCGGTACCTATTGATCTACACATCTTTGCATATTTTCAAACTTCTAGGTTGGCAAAAGATGGGGCTAACTGCAGGAGCTTACCCCGCTCCCCGGATTTGAACCAGCAGCCTTTTGATCAGCAAGTTCAACAGCTCAGTGTTTAACCCGCTACGATACCGGGGGCTCCAATTACATGTTTTTTAATTTAACTTTTAATTAAAAAAATAAAGTACATTTTTTAACTTTTTAAATTCTGAGACATATTAAATGAATTCCATTCTCCTCCTTTCTCTCTTTTGATTTTTTTAAAAGTTAGAATGTATCCTTTTGAGTGAAAGTATCAATGAAAGGGCACTTTTGCACTATAATACTGTAACTCTCAGAGGGGGAAAAAAATCAGAGGACAAGAGTTGTACTTTTAATCATAGGAGTACCTTGGCAATTATGCCCCATTAAAAAAACATTTAGAACAATTCAAATTGCTGTTGCTAGTCTCCTCCTCAAAAGAAAAGAATTAATGGATAAGAAGGCGATTACAACCAGCAAAACTGAAGAACTTACATTGTGAAATTTCATGCTTATTTAGATCAAAAAGGAGTGCATCTACACTGCAGAATTAATGCAGTTTGATACCAGTTTAACAACCAGGCTTAGTGCTATGGCATAATGGGTATTCCATAGTATTCCAAGGTCCTTAGTCTTCTCCGCCCAAGAATTTTAGTGCTCCACCCAACTACTCCAAAATATAGTCCAAAACTGCATTAATTCTACAGTGTAGATGCACCTTGGCAAAACCCTGGAAAGACACCACCTGACCTTTAGGATCGTTGTGTTTTTGACCCATAATTTTGCAGTTTCTGTGCGGAAAGAACTGAAGAAGAGACACATTGACTATCATTAAGATGGAAGACTGTTTAAGATTCTCAACATCTCTTACTCTGAATTGGGCATTGCCATTTTGAGAAACACGCTATTAAGAAGTAAAGCAAAAACATGCCTTAAATAGGCAGGGAGATTCTCACAGTATTTCCTTTATCCCCCTCATTATGTTTTCAAACAATAAATCAAAATAATTCCGGCACATTGCTGACCGGAATAGAACCTCACAAAACTATCCTCAAACATCATAGATCCCAGTATACACAAGTGAATATCTGTTGACACTGATGTGTTTAGACACACTGACATGCTTTATACAGATGTATTTAATTTGGGAAAGAATATGAGGCCTGAGCTTGATAAATGACCCAATCTATTTCTAAAGTCATTTGTTTGGTGCTCTAAATGTCACTGTACGAAGTGGAATCCATACAATGGAATTATGCATATGTGCATCAGTGTATTATTGGCTGTTGGTTTGCAAAACCTTTGCCAATAGTGAGATTATGACTTAAGCAGTTGTGATCAGGTTTCCACCTAGAAGTAGAGCTGTGAGAGACACTGGCCTCAGACCACTCTGACTGTTCCTACTTAAATCCACTATTAAAGAGGGGAGAATGCAGGAGCTGAAAAGGAGTTGCAGTTTGTAGTGTAGTAAACGCAGAAGGCGACATCCTGTTTTTGTATAGAGCCTGTGCCTTTAGCCCTCCTCTAACAATACCAACAGGAAATGAGCATGAGCCATATTTAATGTGGGAATTTTGCTTTTGGCCCAAACCCGGGCTAAGTATATCGCGAAAGATCTCTCTCTAGCAGAAAATGAGCATTGCAAGTCTTGGGGGGCTTATCTACAGGAAGTGAAATCAGTTGGAACTGTGTGTACTGCTGACAGCTTTTGATGCCACTTTGCAGCTGTTTTTGAGGAAATGCAAACACAGTCACAACACAGTATTGCAAAGGTTGGTCAATTTCTGAAGAATGACAGATTACTTTGAACAGAAACATAGTGCTCAGGCCAAATTGAAATGTTTTCTGAAGAATCCACTGTAAACACTACAGGTTGTTGCTAGCAGATTTGTGTAAATGGGTGGTGTTCAGAAGAAACTTTCGGCTGTTGCCAAATTTTCATGACCCCAAGATTGAGCAATGGGGACCCGTTTGGGGTTGGGACCCACAGTGTAAGAAACAGCACTTGAAACAACAAGTAGCAAATGTGATTTATGTTATATTTATTTATTTAATAATCATCATCATCATCATCATCTTTATTTGTAAGCTGCACTACCTCCCCGGGGGGACTCAGGGTGGGTTCCAGGCAAAAAGTGGTGAACATTCAATGCCATAATAAACAAACCAAATAAAAAATGGCATCAATATCAACTTATAATGACTAACTAAACAAATAAGTAATTAAAAACAAATAAAACTCATTATATACATTTACATCACAATAAGATCTAAATAATTAAAGTGCCTTAAAAGCATAAAATGATGATGAAGATGTCATATAAAATAGTGATGTGCAACAGCCAACAGCGCCAGAGTGGATTTCCAGTATCCAAACGAGGTTACATATTAAAATGTTCTAGTTCTCCTTCTCTCCATAGGCTAGGGTGCAAATATAGGTTTTTAAGAGTTTTTTTTAAAGAAGAGAAGAGAGAGGGGGTCATTTTTACTTCTTTGGGGAGGGAGTTTCAGAGGCGCACAGGAGGGGGAGGCGGTCGTGGAGAATTTATTTCTTTAGTGTATTTGTATCTTACCTTTCTCTACCCCAAAGGGGACTCGAGGCGGCTTTACATATGGTAACTATTCAATGCCTTTAAACAACAAACAGTTAAAATATATTAAGTTAAAGATTTAAAATTAAAAATAAATTAAAATTAAATGCACTTCAAAAACATATAAAAATTACAATCACTATTTAAAAAGAGAGGTCCCCTCTCTTGTTCCCACCAACCACGCTTGAGACAGGGATAGGACTGAGAACAGGGCTTCCTCCGCTGTCTGCAGTGTCCATGTTGATTTATATGTGGAGATATTTTTTCCATGTCAGGAGCAACTTGAGAAACTGCAAGTTGCTTCTGGTGTGAGAGAATTGGCCGTCTGCAAGGACGTTGCCCAGGGGATGACCGGATGTTTTGATGTTTTACCATCCTTGTGGGAGGCTTCCCTCATGTCCCCACATGGGGAGCTGGAGAAGACAGAGGGACCTCATCCACACTCTCCTTGAATTTGAACCTGAGACCTTTCAGTCTTCAGTCCTGCCGGCATAAGGGTTTAACCCATTGCACCACTGAGGGCTCCTATATGTGGAGATGCTAATTAGTTAAATAGCCTGTGCCCAAACCATTTAGGGATTTATAGGTCATAACCA